GATTCTAGAAAGAAGTAGAATTAAGTTTTTTCTTGAATTAGTTACTGTAAAGATGTGATATATTTTTCTACAGTTGTTGCATTTAAACAATTACTAAGTGCATTCATAATCACATTTTATGATTGTATATTTAGCTATACAAATTAAAAGAACATAGTCAACTAACTAATCTTGTGAATGCAAGAAAGTACAATCTACTAGTCAATGCCAATAAACTAAAAAGTTTACTTTTATACTTAATAAAGGATGCAAGTCATTTTAGAAAGAAAATTATATTTATATGTGTCTTTTTAAATTGTTTATAATAGTTTTTAAATATTTCTGTTTTGATATAAAAATGTATATATGCTAATTTTTGGCTATTAAGTGCTCCCTAAAATTTTCTTGAAAAATTCCTACCTAAAATATTTCAAAATTTCACTGCACCTCCTGAATTCTATCAAAGAGTGTTTTTTTTTGTGTTATTTGCATTTTCTTAAACTCTCATTATTTAATTACTGAATTTCTCTTTTAATTATTGAAATCTGTAGACCTTTCATTGTAACTGAATAGTTATATATTTTGAGATGAAATTTGAGCTCAAAATAAAATGGGTATTTTCCCTTTTGAATTACTGAAACTAAATAGATATTTCTTTTTAGAAAGTTAACACCATTATATTTTAAAAAATAAGAAAGTTAAAATTTACTTTGTAAAATTCTGGAACAGATACTATTCATTGGCATAAATGATAAATGCAATATATATGAAAACAACAGACTCCACAAAGCAATTTTGTGGACCCTTATAATCAATCATATGCAGGTTTTTTAAAATCCTAGAAATAGTGAATGTATGTATAATTGTAGTACTCCTATTATGCTATTAATGATTTTATGGATCCTGAAAATTATCTTTATATTGTTATCAAACTGATTAATAGTCATTTTAGCTGAGATAAACTGAGTCAAAAAATAATTTTAGCTGAGACAAACTGAGCCAACAAGAGATTTTAACTGAGTCGAAATGCAATTTCTGGTGAGACAATTTTATATTTTGCGAGTAGCACCCCTGGACAAGTAATTTTAATTATTAAAAAATTAGTATTAAACATAAACTTTGACTTAATAATTCAAATTTATTGACCAAAGCTATACGATTCTAACTCAATCTAATAAGAATGAGGAACGAAGCTCATTTTTTTTTTCTCCTTCTTCCCTCCCTCAAAAAAGGAAATAAAAATGTATTTTACTTCGTAGTTTATTGCTTTATTTTACTTGTTTCTTATTTTAGGCTACTTTAATAATAATTAATCCATAAAAATCACCAACTTGCAAGTACTTCTAATGTATAGGAATTCTTAAAAAAAAAATTTTTTTTTTAAATATGTGCACAACGCCTATCAATTTTTTTTTAATCAGATGTTAGCACTTTTAACTATCTTTGACTAAATATTTTTGAAAGGGGTAAGTCACTCAACTCCACTGACTTTGCTCAGCTCCACTGAACAAAAAACTGCAAATAAGTCTATTAACTAAACAAACAGAACACTTATTTTTATTTGCATTTTTGAAATTATATTTGAATGATAGATTACTTTATTCTGAACAAAGCTTTGTTTTTTGTCTAATATAAGATGAGTAACCTTCGATGTGTTAATTCCAATATTATTGCCATTTTTGAAATCAGCATCAAAAATTCTATATGTGTACTTAGATTCATCAAAATCTTGGTGGGTGCCATTATTGAAAAATTCATTATAGGTGTCTTAACAAATCGCTCCACAGTTGGGCATTATCTGGGCAGATAATCAAGGTTCTACTGTACTGTAAAATTAGTGAAGCTCTTTTTCATTAAAATGGAATAGATTGAAGAAAAGTCTGAATTTTCTTAATTTCATGAGGTGTTTAACTGGAACAAATTCACTGACAGTTAATGAAAGTTAGTGTCAATTGACATTCAAAATTCAGTATTACTTTGCTCATATATTTTTCCTTAGGTCAATATATAAAGAAAATATTTTTATTTTATTCAGTAACCTTTTGGTTGGCTTTTTGTTAAATATCGTTTTGTCTCAGAAGCTATCTCTTATTTCAAAAATATTTTATTGAGTATCCTAATGTTGTATATTAAATCAACATTCATATTTGGTAATTATATTCAAACTATTTTTGTGTCTAAATCATAACATCTGATAAATGTCTGCATTTTTTATTTGAAGCAAATATCCATGCTCCTTTTTTAGAAAAAGTTTTCAAGGTGCTGGATATTTTTGGTAATTATTGCTGCAGTATTAAAATTAGGATATGAGTTTTCTCTATCTTTTGAATTTAAAAACTGATTGTATTTTTATATTTAGAATTTTGTGTTTCAAAATTAAGCTAAATAAAGTTGTTAGTTTTTTTTTCTCCATAATTTTTCTAGTGTTTTTAAGATCCTAGTTATTATTAGCAATTATATAATGAACTTTTTTAATTAATCATGCATTTATTTCTTCAAACGAACTTGTATCTCTTTTGTAGCAACTGGAGGCAATTGGGTACCTCGTATGTCAACCTCTGCCAGTGTTTCATTTGAAGCTCTCGGCAGTAGATCGGATGCTGATATGGGCGAATTTGATTTACTAAATAAACGTTCTGCCATGAGCTCTCCAGGTGATAATATTAACTTTCATCTTCATTTATTGGGTTTTTTATTAATTAATAATAAGTTTGACTTATTCTAAAATTTATTTTATTTTTTACCAAATAATCAATATCCATGCTGATAAATGCCAACTTGTACAACCTTTGGGGAAATAAAAATTTTCTAAGTGGTAGTTTAATAATTATAAAGGTATAAGAATTTTCCTGAATTTAAGCTATTTTCCAAAACTTAAAAGCATAGTTTGTTGTTCAACTAATATAGTGCATAGATTTGAATTATTGATTTCTCATGATAGGTAAGACAATTTAAGGTTTAAGATTAATATTTAAACATTAACACTTAAATGTTACTAATACTAAAAAAAATTCTTGACGACCTTACAAGAACCGCTAATTTTCTCTTATGATGTCGTTAAATTGTATTTCCCTGCTTTGACAATCAGCACTTTCCCCTCCCAATGGTGAACAATGTTGTTTTTTTTGTCTCAGCACTCTTTACCATTTTGTATAACTGCTCACGGCACTTAACCTGTGCAGCTAGAACTAGTTGAGTGACGTCACCTTTCTAGCTACGGTGAGAGTGAGAAATGTTTCTTCCTAGAATAGTTTCTGCCAAGCATGCAAGGTTTACTTTTTTGTTTGCCCAACGCTAGGCCTAGTTGCCTATTATCAGGATCATGTCTTCCAGAAAGCATTCACAGATGTTTCAGAAAGAATATTCAGTAGAATAGTCTATATTTACTCGTTCCACTAAGCCCATCCACTTGTATCATATGTTAGCAAATGCGATTTTTCAATTGTGCATAGAGCTCGAAATGACTGTTTCAGCATATGGAAGGATCACGCCATAGAACAAATGGTGCTAACTCCAGTAGAAGCATTAAAGAAATGTTTACGGGATCTATGAATGAAAGCCAGTATGTAATAGGAGCGGAACCTCTCTTTGTGAATTTTTTACTTCAAAGTAATTTGTTATCTGTTGCAGACCATGGAGATCTGTTGTTTAAGTGCATGTTCTGAGATTTGATCATTGCCGACATGGGTGCAAGTCTTCCGTCCCCAGGACGGATTTCCGTCTTTGAAAAATGTCCGCAGACGGAAGTAAGACGGAAACAAAACTAACTCGAAGACGGAAATCGGAAGAAAAAAAATTTCTGTCCTTAAAAATATTTTTTAGGTCTACGTTATTGGTCTACTTTCTTATGTCCTGTTGTTATTTTATCAAAAGACAGATGAATAAATATTTTTTGTGCAGTATTTAAACTTGATGTATTATGGTAAAGCTTTCTTAGATAGTTTGCATATGTCGAGGGGGTATTGTGTATGTTAGGTATTTCAGTCAAAAAAATTTCAGTCTTGGCCTTTTTTCCAACTTGCACCCATGATTACCGACAAATTTAAATGTGCTTGAAAAAAAGGCGCAGAAATTTGCAAAAGTTCAGCTGAAACAACGCAGAACAACTTATATGCTGCTAGCACTGCCTCATAGCAACCTATTTCATTATCTTTACACTACTCAATTAGAAGTGCCTACAAGGTTCGCAAAGCCAAACCTATTGTCTGTTACATTTTTCATAGCTATGGAAAATAATCGTTCACAAGCACATTGCTGTGAGGGAATAAAAGTATAGTCTGTATTTTTGATAGAAGGCTTTGTACTTCTTAGCGCCATTAATATCTACTAAACCAGGTATAAGAGTTCAAGCTGCATCCTGCTAATAGGACCTCTTCACTGAGTAGATCTATTTGATGCAAAGCAAACTCCTATTCAATTTGACTTCTTTGCTCCTCTGAAATAGAAAATAGAAAGAAAATTTTCCATTGGAGCAAATTTATGATTCTTGTGAAATTGTTATATGGACAATTTCACAATGTTAGTTTGTTAACCTCAGTGGTAAGAGGAAATATTTTTTTAAATGTAAGGAAGTGCTTCAAGTATAGAATTTTCTAATTGATAAATAAAATTGGCTTACTTCTGCAAAAAGGTTTGAATCTTTACTGTATTGCCTTATCACCTGTTACGAGTTCAGAGTCCTCATTTTGATATTTTGCTTTATTGGAGCTTACTTCAAAAATTGAACTTGTGTCTCTTATAGATGCTGGTTTCATTAATCTTGATAAAATATTGCTAAATAAGTTCATAAGTTCTCTCTGATACCAGACTGTAGTTCAGTTTTCTTTATACTGACTGTCAAAGATAATTTAACCATGATTTAATAATCAAAAATAGTCGAAATATTATATTTTTGAGCTTATGCATAGAATTATATTTGATTTTGCATTGTACTTCTGAAATTATTACCAAAACTCCTGATATTTTTAATCATTGCTTCTGAAAATTTTTCTACAATGTTATCAGGTCTGTGCTGAATGAAAAAAAAGCACTAGCTCTATTTTTGTTGAAACTTATGCAAGATGAACCCTATTATGATCCCTTAATCCAAATATGATCCCTGTTATTTTTTTCTTTCATTTTCTAGTAACGTATTCTCTTTATAACTTCTCAATAATTTTATAGCCATTAATTTTATATGGATAGGAGGAATTATAATTTTAACTTTTAAATTTCTTATGAATGACTGAAGTTTCACTATTTTCTAACTTATTTTCTACATATTCCAGTTTTAAGCCCCTTTCCTTCCCACAAAAAAAAAAATTTGTTTGCAGGTCAGTGTTATCTGCTTTGCAATTTGTCAGTAATATGTCTAAGATAATATTTTTCTTGAACAAAATGCTACCACAAATATAGTTTTTAAAATTGCTAGTATTTTTGTCTAGTAAAAATTCGTAATGATACATAGCTTGGTTTGCATGATGTTTTGACCTTGGGAGATTTCCAACAAAGCACTTATTAACATGAGATTTTGTTACATGATGATTTGTGGGCATGAGATTCTGTCCCATAATACTTTTTCAGTGTAAAACTTTGTCTCGCAATGTTTTCTCTACTTGAGATTCTTTCTCATGATATAACATTATCAAGATAATTCAGCGTAAACATCTAAACTCTGATGCTTCGCTATTCTAAGCAAAAGTGAAATGTTTATGTTTGATAACACATTGAATTTTACTATTTTTAAAAAACATTATCTATTTTTATGGCTGTTATGTTAAATACAAATCAGAAAACAGTGATGTCTGCATAATTAGTATCTAATCTAGCTTTTTTAAAAATGAAAAAAATTGCATCCTTATATTTGCTCTATCAAGTATAATAAGTCTTGCTGTCCAATACGAAAAAAAGAGGTATCTCCAGAGGTGGACAGCATCATGAAATACAAAGAAATGTCAGACTCTTGCAGGGCAGAACAGTTCCAGAGATGCTTGCTTTTCCTGTCAACATTTTCTTCACACAAAGTACAATTAGGAGAGTCAGCAATCTGAGGATGTGCCTGTAAAAAGTTGTGTCCAGTCAGTAGTCTTAAAAACAGAACCTGGATAGCCTTAGAGAGGTTACTGGATACACATGATGTGTAGAGGTTCTTCCAAGAAGCACCAAGAGTGCACTTCCCATAAAAAGTTTATTGTTTTATCAGTTCTTGGTGTTTTATTAGCATTTTATTTCTCAGGTTAGCCTGAGAATCATGAGGGCTTAAGAGAGATGCCTCTCTTTTATGGTTATCTGTATTTTCATTTCGCCACGAGCCCCAATGACTAGGAATCTATTACAGGACTATTTCTTTCTCGGTAGATTGTCAAATGTTAATACTTTTACAATTAATTTCTATGGCTTTTAATGAAGAGTGACATTTTTTGTAATTGTGAATTGCAACTTGACAATCAATGAGGAGGACAAATTTCTTTTAAGGCCTCTCCAAAATACTTTGGAGAGCAAGGTAAACTGCATACATTTCTTCATCAAAATCATCTAAATTTAGACTTAAAAGCTCTTTGAGTTTGAAAACTTAGAGAAAACACAGTTCCCACTCTCCCAGAAGTTAGTAGTATAGATCTATATTTAATTGTTAACAGGGTATCTTTCATTGATGGTGGCAAGAGCAGCCACCTTAAGTTCTGCCTGAGGGGAGACTCCCTTTTGAACAGAAAGGACAATGTCAAAGATTGGGTATGCATATTTCATCATACCCAGAAAGACAGAGTATTGTGAAATTAGTATTGTTTTGAATTTCTTATTTTTATTTTTAGATACTACTGCTCACAGATCAACTCCAAATCCATTTGATATGGCTGATTTAAGAGATTCCTTTGCTGTTAATTCCTTCTCAAACAATGAAAATAGTAGCAGTTTAAATAATATTAAGAAAACACCTGAAACATTTTTAGGACCAAATTCAAACTTGGTAAATTTAGATGCTCTTGTGAGCTCTCAAGGTTCAGAGCGAGGTAATCATTTTTCATTATATTCTAACTATGAATAAGTGTGTACATTGATTAAGCATTTATGTTTAAATTTATACACTTAAATCTCAATTATGAAAAAAATTAGTATTTTTTTTCTTCTAAGAAATAACTTGTTATATGTCTATGTAAACCAGGTTGACACTCCATTTTATTGTATATTGAATAACTGAAAAGCAGAACACATGCTGGCAATTATTGCACATCCTGTATGGCATTTAAATTAGCACTGCCTTTATCATGACACCTTATCTCTTTAAAATAATTATTTCAGCTTCTAAAATCAATAAACTTAATTTCATGGGTTTGCAATAAAATTGTCATGAATTGAATGTATTCATAAGCATCTCACTAACATCTGAGAAACGATTCCTCAGATGCAAGATTTGAAATCTGTGTATTAATATTGTATTAAAATATTGGGAGTTTGAAAAACGTGAAAACTCAGAGTTTCTGCGCTGAGGTTCAAATCTTCTGCTTTTTAAAAATTTTCATTAAAATTTTATACCTTCTTAAAACTAATCTATGCACATGTGTATGAAGATTTTCCCTCCTACTTTTCTTAGACAATGACACTAAAATTTTTGCTAGTTTTTAACTTAATCCATGTTGTACAACATTAACAGTGTTTTCATCATAGAAAAAAAAATGTGTGAGAATTTCTCACCCTTTCTCAAAAACAGGGTGAGATTTCAAAAAGTTAAGTGAGATTTCTAAAAAGTAGAAAAACACAAGAACTCTTGAAAAAAAATCATTTCTTTAATTATAATACATTTTTAACGTCTTCTATTTTTTAAGGCATTGAATATTTTTAGTGCATCACTGTAGAAGATTTTGCCTTTACAAGGTACTTGTCCATCTTACATAAGTGCATAAAAAATTTGAATGTCTTACATGAAGAAACGTTACCTACGGTAAACACGTGGTTGCTGAGAAATGTGTTCTGAAAGGGGTTCCGTGGTTTTGTTATGTTGTTCGAAAAGGTTCTGAACAATACTGGTAAATAGGGAAGCTAGATAATGGGGCAGATGTTGAAAGTAATGAAATATCCAGGTAGAAAAGTGAAACAGATTTTATTCTAAATGGCGTAATTCGAAACTTTTCCCAAAATGCGATAAATTCGCGAATTTTGAAATTGATTTATAGAATGCACGAATTTCTCATTTTTTAAATCATTTTTTCTCATTTTTTAATTCCTTTGTAATCATTTTTTAAAGCGAGAGAAGAAAAAAATATGCGAGATTCTCGTGCTGTAGTGAAAACACTGATTAATTAATGCAAAATATAAGATTTGAAGCATCAGATTGTTTTTAAAAAGGTATATTTTTTCTGTTTGGAATTTATTTGAGCTGATTGTGTTAAAACACTATATTCCACTTATGAAACACTACATTTAAATAACTACTGCTGATGATTTTACGAAATTCTTTTAAAAAGCAATTAAAGATTCCAAAATATCTCAGAAACCTAGCTGTGAATAAACAAAAACTCTGTTTCTAATAATGTGCTAAATAATAACTACTTTAAACTAGTTGTATTATTTATCAATTATCTATGTTTAAACTTAAATTAGTTATAAATTCAGTAAAAAAAAAATTTTTTTAAACATTTTAACTGTAGTGTTGATACTTGAATAAAAAATAAAAATGAAAAACACATAAAATCTCTCATGTTGACCTCTCAACAATTTAGCTACATTTTGGGTAAAACAATTTTTAAAAAAAATTTACCATTGTGTGTCTGAAAATTCAATTCATTTAACTTATATTCATAGAGGATTCTTCTGTACCGATACTAATTTTTACACAAACTCGCAAATAAGATATATCCAGGCATTTTTTTAATAATAAATTGTTATACAGAATCAGCTTTAAAAATTTTTATTTAATTTCTGATTAAAAGAGACTTAGTGTTATCAAGTAACTCTGTAATATGGCTTTACAATATTTTTCATGAATAGTTTGGAAAGTTGCTTAATACTTTTTCTACATTATTGTGTAAAGTTATAAAAGATCAAAGCTGTAAAATTATTCTGTGTGCTAAAGATGTTCATTAACTTATTTATTTTTAAAGTATAGAAATATTGCCAAACATGTATAGATATAATTAACTCTTGAAGTAATGAAAAAAAAAGTTAAGATATAATAGTCCCTTGATAGTTTGGGAATTATTATTCCTGGTATCTTCCTTTTCTGGTCTTAAAAACCAAACATGAGTTTCATCACAAAATAATTTTTTTAACTTGATTATTTCATTGTACATTTTCATTTTTAGACTTCTAATGACTGTTTACTATTCCTCTATGAGTTGTAATATTTAACTAAATATGACAGTAAATAAATGACGGTTTGTAGAAAAATAATAAAATGGCCTCTAAAATTTTTTAAAATCTGATTTGTTATTTGATGTTTTTGTATGTTGAAAAGTCTCTTTTAAAAATAGTTTTGCATTAGTAAAAGAATCTTATAAATAAGTCTAAAATTCACTTCTTCATGGATTTATGAGTTACTTATCCAGCAGTATTGCATATTATTTACAAATATTGGCTGCCTTGGCAAAAGAAATTGAGTTTTATGTTCTAATTTTTTTTTAATTTTAAAACTTGTAATTTTCAATCATATTTTGGATTTCAATGAAAAGAAATTTTGTTTCAGCTATAAAAAAAGTATGTGTTTAATAGATTGGAAAACAATGAGTTTCCACTTGTTCTTTTGTTGCTGGGTTACTCTATATTAGTGTATTAAATTTATTATTTCCATATCACTTGAATTATTTTGTTTATTTGATCATACTTATTTTAACTCAATGTTATTTGAAGTTAAAAAATAATTGTCCAACTTAAATTTTAAAAAAGTTCAGTTTGTAGTTCCCATTTTTGTAATACTACAAAATTAAACTATAATTTTTGTGACTGAAAAACTAAAAAAAATACCACTAGTTTTTGAAAAAGAACTTTTACCAACCTTAAAATTTATTTATATACAGATTAAGTATTAAGCCAATGATGTATAATGCAAATTCATTTTTATTTATTTAGATCTAGCATCTGGTAATCCTTTTGGTGTTCCGCCTCCTGTTAGTAATCCTTTTCAAGCTATGAGACCTCCTCCTCCCACTATAAATCAACTTAGAGCTCAAATGCAGATTCCACCTCTCCCTTCTGGAATTGTTGTACCTCCCGTTATGCCTACTTCTGGCATTCCAGTTGTTATGCCAAGTGTTGCTACGTTTTCATCAAGTCCTCAAACAAACAACCCATTTCTTTAAAAGTGTCGTCTTAGGCTAGATTTGCTGCTTCCATATTACAGTTGTGTGCCTCATCCTTCTGTAACTGCTTATTGTAAATTTGTTTTTAACAAAATTTTTGGTTTTCTGCTGGAAACCAATTTATTTGCATGACAAGAAAGAATTATTGATGTCGTATTTTTTTACTCAGTTGTCCTTTTCAGAAATAAGTTTTTAGCTTTTGAAATTAATTTTTTATGACAAAGGAATATATATATATTTTTTTGTTTCATTTTAAAGTAATGGTGATAACTGCTTTCCTTTCCCTATTGTGCTGCTGAATGAAATAAAATATTAAATGTGTTTATAAGTTTTTAAATATTCTTAACATTGTGTGTTATGAGCTTCTGGTATGAATATTAGTTGCATAAATATGTGAGAAACATTTGTCCAAGAAATGATATGTATTTTCCCAATAAATTAATACCTGCAGTTTCACTGATAAATTATTATATCATTTGAAGCTATCTTTTGAATGATGTGTAAAGGTATTGTAAACTACTTTATTGTGATATAAAATAAGTATATTTGGCTTTATTTCTAAAAAAACAACAAAAAAAACATTTATTGTAGTAGTGTTCTTTTTTATATTCTCATTTCATCATTTTTTAGATGTACCATTATTCTTTTTTATTTTACAAGTCCAGTATTATAGCTATACCGGTTAATTTTAGTGGATGGATTAGTTCATGATTTTTAACATCTTTATCTGAAATTTTAGTGGTACAACTTTACTATGTTAAATCTGATTTTATGTGCAACATTAAGAAATATGACTAATTTATTGTTCAGGACTAAATATTGTACTAATTTATTATATTGACTAATTTATTGTATTTCATGCATTTTATACTATTTTATGAATAGTTTATTAATATCCAGTTTTTGTGAAATAGCCTGGTTATTAATTTTTTCTTATCCAATATCATTCACAATATCATTTCACTGTAAAGTGGCTAGCTTGAATATTTTTCCTTGACAATGATGTGTTTAATTTATATTTTTAAAAACCTTTCTTTTTTAAACTTGATGTTTTATCATAAAAGTGTTGCATTGGTAATTATGTGATATTTTTTAGCTTTAAATGATATTTTTATTGATTTTAACCAAACTTGTCTTCTTTTAATTAAATTTTTCCTGTCATCTTTTTATATACTATGTTATATACTTAAGAGGTCACACTACCCATTCTTATCTATAGTGTAGTTTTTGTTTGCGGTCAATAACTACATGTTTGCCTGATTAATAATTTCAGGGGCTGTCTTATTGTTTTACATTAGGTATAGGTTTCCTTAAAAAGTTCTTGATTTCCTAACCAAGAATTATTTCCTTTTGTAAAAATGTAAATAATGGCAAGGTTAAAAGTAATTTTTTTCCGTTCTTCATTTAAGGGCAGACCCTATTTCAGTTTGCATTATATTATTCAATTTTTAAATATTGAGTCAAAACACCAGTTTAAATGAGTTATTTTTCACATGTCTTAAAAAATATCTTTTTAGTCCTCTTTTAAACTTTGAAAAATTTTAAATAAAAAATGCTTTTATTGTTTTCTGTTTGCAGTGACTAAGTTGTAAAAAAGTCTTTTTTTTTATTGAATAATATTACCATTAAGAATTAATTCTTAAAAGTTTACTGATAAAGATTTTATTTGAAAATGACTAAATAGAAACAAGAATCGTTATTTAACATAGAGTATAGAAAATATTAGGTTTGTGAAAAAGTTTTTATTTAAACTCAAATTCTTATTTTATAATTATTGCACATTAATGCTTAATCAAAGTTATGTAAATAATAGACTCCATTCAGTTCTGCAATTTTTTGCCAACATTTTAGCAGCATTCAACTTTAGGAAAAACGGTAGTTTCACAAATTCAATTTTAGGAAAAACGGTAGTTTCACAAAATACTTTTTCTTAAAATTTTATTTTTGCATCCCTTAACAAACGATAAGTCCATATTTTTGTGTTGAGTTTTTAACATAATTTTTATTTTTTCACAAATGATATCTAAATTTTCACAAAATAGGTACCTCTCAGAAAACCCTAGACAGACCCCTGCTATCAAATCCTTCCTGTCACAACTTCAATGGTCATGATTCCAAAACTGCATCAAAAATTGTTTCTTTTGCTAAATTAAAGATACATCTGTTAAATATAATCTAAAGGGGCCATTTGTGGGCTGTAAGGTGAATTTGTCATAAGTTGGTACAACTGGTGATCATACTCGCATGCCGTCTTACATTGCCTTGTTGAAAGATGACTATCTTTTCTTTTATCTTAATGTTGCATGGCTTTTATCAAGCCCCTTGATGTGTGTCACAATTAATAGGATATTATAAGTACATCAATGAAAATTATAAGTACTCAGTATGTAATATAAATCTTTGTAGATGTTTCTATCAAATTCTCTCCCTAACAAAACCTTCTTGGTGAGTTTAATGTTGCTAACATGCTGTCAAACTATGTCCTTTTTCTAATAACGTTATTAAAACAAACCCATTTTTTTATCACCATCCAACTGAAAATTGCCATTATGGATATATTTTCAGAAATTTCTCTCAAATCTTACCAGAGTAATGCTTTGTCAAATTGTTATGTAGCATATCACAATTAAACTTTGACCAGATTTATGTGTTTTCAAATCTTACACAACTGTTTTAGGGTAAACATTGAGGTATGCACCAAGCTCTTGAGTTGTATTACTGTTATCTTTTGGAAAACCTTGGGTATCTCCTCATCATTTTTAATATGTCTACCACAGTGAAGATTATTTTCTTACCTAAAATTTCATATCCAGAATTTGTGATAACACTCTTCCCTGAATGATACTTTAATCTAAGCAATCATATAATCTTTTTAATGTGATTGCTATTCATCTTATCTTACCTTTTTGTTCACTAAAGATAAACCATGAATCAGTTGGCAAAACACTTCTAATTTCTCAACTTCAATAACATGCAGTTGAACTTTCCTCTGTCCATAGATACTACAGAAACCTATTAGTTGAGTTAAAATTTTATTGGTCATCTACTAATCCTTTTTGCGCACTTCTAATTTTTATAAAAATTATCAGCATAATATATCTTTAAAACAAATAGTAGATTTTAAGGCTCTAATCTAATATTTTTCCTTATCCTAAAAATTGTATTAATAATTTTTTGTTAACTCTAACCTTAATTTAATGTCTGAAAAGTAAATTCCAGCAGTTTTTCATTTTAAAAAAAATCTCCAACAGGAAAGCATTAGTTACATTTTTATTGACTTGATCTTAATGTTGTAACTAAAAAGAAATTTAAATTGCTGTAAACAATTTTATTTAAACTTTTAAATTAAAATTTATTTATGATAATTTCATGTGTTTCTCTCTCTTTGGTATAAAGCAATTAAGGGGTTTGTATTCTTTATGCAGGGTATCCGCGCACCTGGAAAACCATGAAATGTCATGATTTTAACTATTTTTTTAAAAAAGTCATGGATTTAGGTCACCAAAAAATCATGGAAATAGGTCACCGAATTTTCAAAGTGGATTTTACCCCTCCCCCTAATTTCATGGTGTTCCGAATATCTGAATTTGTGACAAAATCCCCACTCACAGTCATGTTTTATTAAAATATAAATATTTTTATCATGTTCTTTAAAAATTACGGTGTTCTTTCAAAAAATGAAAGAAAAAGCATCATTTCTAGAGTGAATTATCTTTTAAACTTCTGTGATTTCAGAATTTTTATTATTATTTATTTTTTTTTTTTTTTCAATTTAAAATTCTAGCTGAAGCAAGCCAGGCATTGGCGAAATTTTTTTAATTCCAAAGTGAGAATAGGAAAATCAGAAGTATTTCTTTACTTTCTGATGAACAAGAAAAGTATCTTTTAGATTATAATTCTGCAGAAAAGAAAAAAATAATTTTTATTATTTGCTTCTGTATTTTTTCAGCTATTTTATTGTTTCAACTCTTTTTTTTTTCTGTTTTTTAAATTTAAAATCTATAAATATAAATATGAAGATGCAGAGTATAACTGTTTTGGTTATACCTATCATTTCAATTAATGTTTTTATAATGCTTTTTAAATTTATTGTTCTGTTTTTGTCAGAAGAAAATAATAACTTCGTTAAGTCATGAAAAGTACTTAGAATTAGTCATGAATTTGAAAATCCAGTCTCAATCAGAAAATCTAAAATGTTCCAGATACCTTGTTCATGTTAAGAAATAGGGTCTCTTTCTCTGTAGAATTCAAATAAAATTTACAATTTGTGTTTTGGCATGAAAGTTAGAAAGAAAGCGTTTTTTTGTTCAAAAAAGAGATCATATTAAATATTTTGTTTTATTTGGCAAAATCAAAACTAATTTTGAAGCTTTTAACTGTAAAATAACGTGCAAATATTCATGTAGACAGTATGGAAATAAGTCTAACAATTAAGTAAACTTTTTTGCTATAGCGCTAAACCTTTTATTTATAGTTCAGTTGAAAATCAACTTGAAAATAAAACTATTGAGTGGTGAGGGGAAATTTCTTGCTCTCTTTGTAGCTTACTATCAAGGTTTAGGAAAACTTTCCAAACTATAATGTACAACCTGAATAAGCTCAAAGCAGTTTTTACTTTGGTCAAAAATTTATTTTGATAAAAATCTCATATTTTTTTAAAGCTTATTTGTTTAAAATGAGTTATACAAAATTTTAATGAAGAAATATCTTATTAAATCATTATTTTAATTGTACTGCTCATCCATTTAAAAAAAAATTATCAAACTTAATGTTTTGTTCCTTTTAAAATAAACTTTGCTCTTGATCATCTTGAAAACTTGATTTGCTCTGGATAATTTTTTCCCTCAAAATGAGAGACCCTCATATTTTCGGATAAAAATTAAGTATTTGATTTAATATAATATACATCTTTGTGGTGTTTTTCTTTTAGTTTATTTGTTTTAAGTGGAAAAGGCTTTTTCGTCAACCTTTTTTTAGCAATTGTAGTTAACCCTGCATTTAATTGCGAGCTTTGTTTTATATTTAGTGATTGCTCGCAAAATAGTTCCTACAAAAAAAAATTATAATAAATAAATTTACTGCATCTAGGTATTGGGTAATGTGTTCTCTTAAATGAACTCTCATCTGTCAAGAAGTAACTTTTCTGTTATGCACCTATAAATATTTTTTTTCAATCTACTTTGGTGCTCTTTCTGTTCAAAATAATAGTAGTTGAAATCTTATATTTGTAGTACTCATATGAAGTTGATATTTCATTAATAAAAAGATTTAATATTTTAGTCATTTCATTAATTTAGGCTATTGCACTCTCATATTTTTAGAAAACCCTTTCTTATTTATGAAAGTTCGAAATACATCTTTCCTGAATATAAGTATAAAAATAGCTGCATTTAAATTAGAAACAATATTATGTCAGGACATTTCCTTAATTGTTTTGTAAGTGGTGATTATCAAACTTTCTCAAAGTGAAATTGTCCAAAATTTGTTAAAACTATTACGTTTTAGTTTAATCTTTTAATGTAAAACAAAATACTAATAACTTTATTTTTTAATTGATTATTTAATATTAGTTTATACATAAAGAGTTATTCTTTAACATGTTATTTTGTCTACTTAATTTATTTTGTGAAACAGTTTTCATTTTGATTTTTAATTACAGCTTAAAGTAATATTGGCCTTTATCCTGAAAGATTTTTCTTCGTAAATTTAAATCACCATTAATTTTTTTTAAGTTGAAAGGAATTTTTTCTTTAAAATATATAGAAAATCTTAAAATAAGGTGCCAGACAATAAAAAAAATAATAAAATACAATAAATCAATTTTTTATTTCTTTTTCAAAAGAAAAATTTCAGTTGTAAACATGATAAAAATAATTTTTTCTTAGGCATTTTGTTTCTCACACCGGTTTTACTAAACCTGTAATTATCTATACACACTCATATATATATATTTAATTTAAATAATCTATTTGATCATGGTTTTTTTATTTTGATCACAAGACTCAAGATTATTTTATATATATTGACTTTATTATCCTTAAATAGTTTCTATTTATGTAACATAGATCGCAATCTGGAAAATTTAGTGCCCAAAATAAGCTTGGACAAGTAAGGTATCTGCCCAGAATTCTGTGCATATATTAAAAGCAAATTTAATTCTTATAAACATTGGATATACCTGAAATTAGACTTTTCCTAGAATGCTTCAAAAATTAAATATTTAAAGCCATAAAGCCCAGGCAAAGTGTTGTCAAGTATTTTTTAATTTTCCCCTTCTAAAACATTTTATGTTAAAATATTGAAATCTTATTCTTATAAGATTCTATAAATTTCACTAAAAACCACAAAATTACCTAATTAAAAGTAAAATTTATGTACCCTATCCCCAGTTTTTTTTTCTAGAAATGCTCAACTCAAATCCTTTATTAAATTGTATTTTATATGACATATTGTAAATAAGTTTTGATATCCTATATTTTATATGTATAAATTTAATCTAGCTATTTTGTCACAAAATTAATAAGTATTTTTTATTAAAAAAAACTAGATTTTTTTCCTAATTTTTTGAAAAAACTGTCAAACATCTAAAATGCAATTTTAAATAGTTGAGTCATTTTATATGTGTTCAAAAACTTGTGCTTAGATTAAAATTATCTTATAAGCTATATTTTCCATTTTTTGATGATATATATAACATGGAATGTATTTAGTTTATACTAAGGCATTGATAAACCTTTGGAGTAGGGTGTTTAATATGCAAATACATAAAATAGCAGTCAATTTTTTAAAATTCTGATCCTGGTGTTTCTCCTAAATCACTTAATGTTGAACTCTTAACTATTTAATGTTTATCTATTAAAGCTGTGTATTCAAATGTTTAAAATTTGTTTAATACCGGTTAAAATTAAGAAGATACTGTAAGGATATAATATTTGGAAAAAAATGCTAAAATTTTACATCTCTTCAAATCAGTGGCGTAGCTAGGTAACCAAGGGCCCTGGGGCAAATTAAAAAATGGGGCCCCACTGCTATGTAAACTGATTAGGTTTTATCAAATAAAAATATGAAATATGCAAATACTTAAAAAATGCTAAGCTACTTAAGCTCTTTTTTGTGCACTGCAGGGCAGGTAATAAAAATATTAAACAGTAACAACATAAATTACAATTAATACTTGGTGTAGGTTTGGCTAATAACACGAAATAGAGAAGATTCAAGGGTTTATTATATAAAGGTCGGGCCTACCAACTGACTAAATAACAATTATATTTACAATTTTTTCCTAGCTTTAGTTTTCGCAAAAGTATCAATGACTTCGTTTAAATCCAGGCTTGATGCGGTTTTGTTTTCAATTGCTATTAGCGATAAATGTCGGAGTCGAGTTTGGCCCATATTATTTCTTAAATAATTTTTTATTATTTTTAATTTGCTAAATGACCTTTCAGCTGCTGCAGAAGTGACAGGAATTGTAAAGAATAATAACATTGCTGTAAATACTTCCGTTAGGTCGCATTCTAGCACTCCATATTTGCTCATTATTTCCTTACATAATTGGTGAACAGTCCATGCTTGAGTTAGTTGAGGTAAAACTAGGTGGTAAATATTAATAAATTGAAGTGAAAAACTAGGGCCTATTATATCTGAATATTTTCTTTGGAATTCGTCACACTTTTGTAATAAAGTTGCTTCATCAACATGTAATAAAAATGTTGGTGTTAGAAAATCGAATATATGACAGACTGCACTCATACCAATAAAACGTGTATCTAATTGAGATATTACTGTGTCTAGTACATTATTGAAAATCTCAATTTTAAATATTTTTTCTCGGTTTGGAAATCGGTGATCAGCAGCTAATTCATCAAAATGTTTTTTAACTTTTCTTTGCCTTTTTTCTTGAAAATGGGTATCAATACCATATTTTCTTGCAGTTTCACTGGCTTTGCACTTGAATAATTCGAAATCATTTCTATAAATTTGCAACTTTGCTTTGGTCTCTGCTAAAACTTTACTCGCCTCGCCCAAATTGATGTCGCATTTTTGTAAAGTTTTGGATGCATAACTGATGTCGTTCAATACACTGTGCATGAATTCGCAAAGCAACACGAACTCGAAATTTAGCATTTTTGTTTTACTACTCTCTGCTTCACTACGCTCATCTTTATTAGGACTCTTTAGAACTATTTCTGATAATGCTTTGATAATATCAAAATAACGAAGTTTTATTGCAGATATCGTATTGACCCTACTGGACCATCTAGTCGGATTTAGTTTTTTTAGAGTGGTGTCCGATTCGCCAGTGAATTTTGACAGTAGATCCCAACGTTTGATGCTGTTTCCGAAAAAGTTATACAAATCTTGCAACGTTGCGAAAAAAATCTGTATTTCCACACAACTGCTAACGGCATCATTTATCACCAAATTTAAATTATGAGTGGCACAATGTACGTACTCTGCGTTAGGCTGGATATCCTTAATATGTTTTTGTACACCATTATACACACCACTCATCACACTGGCTCCATCATAGCCTTGCCCCACACATTTTTTTAAATCAATATTTTTGTTGATAAATAATGTTGTCACTTGGTTGACTAAATCTACTGAGCCATGTTTAATAGCTGCATAAAAGCCTAGAAACACTTCTTTTACTTCTATATCAATTGGCTGTCCATTTTCCGATCTGGTTATTACTGCATACCTCACAACAATGCTTAGCTGATCTACCTTCGATATGTCCTGTGCCGTATCCATTATGATGGCAAAAAGCGGTGACGCTCTAATTTGTTCTAGTAGATGGGTTTCGAGTTTGGTCCCCAAGCTCTCAATCATTTCATTTTGAATTGTTGCACTCAGATATCTTGTAGATCCTAAAAACATAAAAAAACACAATTTCAAAAAAGTCCTGACATTAAACAGTTGGTAATTATAAACAAAATAAAACGATAAAAAAAACTTAGATATAATTATTATTACTTTTGGGCATATCCAAAACTTGCCGCAAAATGTGATCATATCGGGCGACAAGCTCTACAAAAGACAGAAAATTTCCATGGTATCCTTTCTGACTTAAGTCTTCTTGATGTCCTCTCAAAGCCAAAGAACTCTTTACTAGGGTAAGTACGATATCGAATAACCTTTGAAGAACCATTTTCCAAAATGATGCTTCTTTGCGAATTTCATTTTCAATTCCTTGTCGATAGTATTAGTATCGTTTTTTTTCTCCAAAATTCATACACAGCACATGCTTCCGAATGGCCACTCGAACAACTGTGTTGTTTAATTCTCTCTGATAAATGCTTCCAATCTCGAATTCCCGTACACCAAACATTATTCCTTTGTGAAGCAAATAACCAGCAGGGTTGACAATAGGCAGCGTCTAGTATTTTGGAATAACGCAACCAAAAACGATTAACTGGCCCATATTTATAACACGAAACGTAGTACGATTTTGAAAAACACCTATTGTTCTGGTTGATGTCTGTTGGAAAAGGTCCTGAAGGCTGTAAAGGCCCCATATCAAGAATTTGACGTTTTTCGTTATCACTTAATATCTTGTTCGTGAAGTTTCCCAAGTCATAAGAAGATTTGTCGTACACATTTTCGAAAAATGTAGAGGTCTGTGGTTCCTCCAAACCCTCCGCTCTTATGTGTGTCATGCAAACATCATCCACGTTCACATGATCGGCGGCGGAGGTATCTCCAACTGCAATAATTGTCGAATCTTCTTCAGTAGGCTTCTCAACCAACACTGCAGTTACCACATTATTTGAGTCACTATCAATAGAAATATTTTGGCCAGATGTACTTGCAGAAGGCTGACTAAAAAACTTGTCAATTTTGGGCAATTTTTGTTTACTATCTTCTCTTTCTTGGCGTTGTTTGCGTTTAAATGCACCACTGGGTTTCTTCTTTTTATCCATAATTTTAGTTTTCTAATTTATTTAAACAATACAATATTAGATTGTGCTCGAGTAGGTAGGTACTCACTGTTCACTGACGACGTTAAAAGTAAAATAAAAGGAAAGAGAAACACAATGATACGCTACAAGTGTCGTTGGGGAATCCCCGGAAAAAAAATTATCACCGTTAGTGTTACCACATTTAACGGTGGAGACTGTAATGGTTGGCAACTGTTTGGCGACCTTTTAAGGCGCACTTGGCGCATTTTGTCATCCCGTCGGAGGGATGCGAGAGAGAGAAAGGTAGATGTATGTTTGATATAATCGGGAGAGGGTCTCCCTTGGTATTCTAAGAGCTGGAAGCTCTTACTGGAAAACAATGCCTATTTCTTTTGTTTTTAAATAAAGTTAAGTTTTATTGTTTTAAAAATCTGGTCTGCTTATTTATTGGAAAGGAAAGGCATTACAGAGACCATGAACGATCTCCTGCCCACGGACCTGAATTAATGTACCTACTGCAGGTGACTTGCATTTTTTCACGATATTTCGCGTTATACAATGAGCTGTAGCCGAAATCTATAGATTTGACACGATTTATTGACTTAACGGACATCAAAATGAGTGGTAAAATCAAATAAAATTGAATCACTATATTGACCAGTACAAAAAAGTTTATTGACATTAGCTTACTTACTCCTGATTTAATTTTTTAACCGTTCTCGAAAAAAAATTCTTAACTCGAATTCACAATAAAACGAACATATCACTATCCGTCAAATTGACAACACTACCAACCAACAGAAAGAATTTAGGGGAATTCGATCCCTAGACATAACTTTTGAATTTCTCTCAACTGAGTTGTCATGATTAAAGTGGGGTTGCAACCTGTCATATTTATTTTGAAAATGGGAGAAATTTCCAAACATTCAGTTCGATCGAGATTTCTGGTAAGGATTCGAGGGCCCCCTGAGCTTGAGGGCCCCGGGGCACTGCCCCGCCTAGCCCCTAGGTAGCTAAGCCACTGCTTCAAATAGATTACTCTTCTTTTCATATTTATGAAAAGTCACCCTCTTATAAAAAACAGGCCTGCTCCATGAAATTTCAATCTCACTGTGAATTTAGAGCATAGATTTCTCACACAAGTACTGAGGACTTGATAGAAAATGGCATTGGAACTTTCTAGAAGATCAGTTACAAGTTGCAAAAAAAAAAAAATTATTAAATATTGAGTACACTTTGATTTGAACTGATTTTCTTTTCTTATCAAAAAATCATTAACATTTTTATTTCTGGTAATACAGTGCTGTAGGTGGGGGGAGGGACTCCGTTTCCCAAAATATTTGATTTGCTGTAATTAAAAAAAAATTGAAATATTTGAAAAAAATTTCAAACCAGTCTTTCTCTCTTTTTTCTAAATTTAACTATTTCTTTTCATTATTATGTTGTTGTTTTTTTTTTTTTTTTTTGACAAATTAAAAAAAATACCTCACCTAACAAAAGTGCTATCAATCAGATTCAAAAGCGCAAGCAAGCTTTCAAATCTGATTTGTGCAATTTTTGGGCTCATCTGTATACAAATGCAATGAGGATAGTCCTGTTAAAAAATATAATTTCGGAAATGCTTATAGTGCTTAAAATTTTTAATGTAGCTGAGAGCTAATTAATCAAAGTAAATATTTAAATTGCATTTACCAGTATTTAATGAGAACAAAATCTTTGCATAAAGTTGCTTTTAATTAATTTCATGAGGTTTGTAAAATTCTGAATATTAAATAAGATTTTTCTTTATAACACTGTTTTACATATTTTAAAATTTGGTTTGCAAGGAAACCAATCAAAATGCAAATAATTATGTTCACACAATGAAAAAGAGGGGCTCGTGGAGTTCGCTCACTCCTTATTTAAATAAAGACACTTTTCAAGTAATATAAGTTATTACAAATGTGCACTTCTCTTACCGTTAAACTCTAACAAAAACAAATTCATATTGTCGCACTGCTGGGTAAAAGTAAAAAAAGTAACTATTTTTAAAAAAAAAATTTTTTTAATTAGCTAGTTAATCGTATATTAGTACACATAGTTGTGCCACAATAACCCACTAAAGGGTCATAAAAATCTAGAAGAAAAGAATGAAAACACCTAGAGTTTGATGAAAGTATAGGCCAGTAACATTTTTGATGATGTCAGAAAATTCATTTATTGGTGTCCAAAAAGCATATGAAGCACAACACGAAAATTACGTTCAGGATTCACAGAAAAACAAAGCTAAGTGTAAAAATACAAAATTCCTTACTCAGTAATATTTAATAGAAATTTATATAGTTTATCATATTATGTAATTATTTTATCAATAGTTTTTATGATGAGTGCACCAAAGATAAAAATAATGCAAATCTGCAACACACACACCCTCTTTTTAATATAAATGTCTGCTTTTTTTTTATAATTAAAGCAGGCCAAGTAATTTGAACTGGTCGTTTTTTGGCCCAACAAAAATCAGTCAACTTTGACGCATGCCCTATGAAAAGATGACTTCTCAAATATTTTTTTCCAACTACAGCACTGTGCACGTATCTCATGTTATTAAATCAGTTACTAATGTTAAAGTTGAGCAAAAAAATTTTAACTGATTTTATAGAAAACTTATTTTGCTTGCAGTTGGGCAAGATAAAAGGCTAGCTTAAGGAGATCTGAGCTATTTTTCTTTTGCTTTTTATAATACTTTATTTTTGATATTAGACATTCATTTAAAATTATTTGCTTTTTATTCATCATTAATATAGTGTTACGAGGAATTACCTGATTTTTATAATTGTTTAAAGGTTATTTTACAAACTACCCTACTTAATTCATAGCAATTTGCAAAGATACACCCTTTTTAAAGGGTTGTATATTTTTCTAATCAAAATACTATAATAATGATTCTTATTCATTGTCTTGATCTTTAAGAAAGTGTTTCAGACAAAAAACATATGTCTTCATTTTTTTAGTTACTTTTATTTATTATATATCATGTATATGTATAGATATATTACCAGCGATGTTTTAAAGAAGTTATGACTAGTTTAAAAATTACAAGCCTTCTTGTATGTCATGGACAGAAAAATATAAGGATAAGTGGTAAGTTTCAACACACACTGTATCTAAATGAGATAACTTAGCTTTTAGTTCTTAACATCTAAAAAAAAATTTATTTGGATATTTATATATGGGTAGTTTAAACTTCCATACGAAATTACTAATAATCTGCACTGCACTATATTTTTACGGTGTTAATACATTAAAACTCTTATTTCTATGATTACATTGATTATAAGTATGATGATACACATATGATTACATAGGCTTGTAAATATTTTTTTATAAATTAAGAACATGATTTAAAGTGCATCTTAACGAAAATGTTAAACAACTTACATCAAAGTAAGGTTTTTTTTTTTTTTTTCTTTTTGAGACAGAGTCACTCTGTCNAAAAAAAAAAAAAAAAAAAAAAAAAAAAAAAAAAAAAAAAACTAGGAACAAATGGTTTTTTATAATGCAAATAAAATAATTTTTCAACAATTGACAGTCTCGTGATCTTGCGTAATACTCATAATAGCTGGAAGGTATAAAATAATGTGCCAGAGAATTAAATAAATTTAATAAAGAACGGGTAAATAACGAATATGAGCTCTCTTACAGATATAGTATTACAACTTAATTTCTTACTGGTATTACGGCAGTTAAAAATTTGCCGTTGCAATTGTTTCAACTCTGTCATCAACTCTCCGTTGCCCTCCCCTGAGCGTTTAAGACCTGCGCTATATAAGATTGAGATCTGGAGAGATAGCTGACTAATCCATGAGGGGAATATTTTCTTGTTATTTAAAATCATTAACTAGGTGAATTTTATGTAGCTCTCTGTTGTCCTTTAAAATTGCTATTCGGAAATGCAAACATAAGGCTCCAAAACCTTTATCCCTATACTTTAAACCAGATTGTCTCTCGCGAAGATATAGAGAATGTTCAACTATTCAACTTAAAAAAAACTTTAATGTCTTATATAATATTTCATATTCGATGGCAAATAGGTCCCTGATTCAAATATAGCTGAATATATTTACACTATCATAGCTTCATATAATAAGAACCAATAATCCACTACTTGCTCCAAATATATATGAAATGCTTCATTATGGTAGCTAAAGCAATAACGTAGTCAAGGAGACAGCTGAAGTGAAATCTCCGCGGGCAGCGAAATTACTGCTAGTTTAAATTACTTCTTCAGTATTTCTAACCCTTTAAATTTTTCTTCAGCAAATATAAATTAAAAAATGCCAAAATTGTTATGATTAATCTAGTTCTCCATGCATTTATTTAATAATGACTAATTACTTATGTATATATGTGTGTATAAGAAAAGAAATGCAGTATTAAAATGAATCAATATGAAATAAAATAAAAAGTTGCAACTCATCAGCAGACAACAAATTCTGATTAACACGAGCTCATCAGCTCGTGTTTATCAGAATTTATTAGCTTTATTTACTTTAAATTATTTCTAAATAATATATATGTATACAAAAAAAGATATCTGCCTAAATAATTTTTGTTCTTTTGATCGGAGTGCCCATCAATGGTTCAAAGGGGTAACTCAAATATGTTAAGATACGGAATCAGACACAAAAATATGCCTAGTATGACTAAACATACCTTTTTTTTTTAAACGGATTTGGATTTTTTAGCTATCAAAATGTGGGGGTAACCGCAATCTGAAACTATGGTCGCAATAATTTAGTCAGGAGAATTGTTGAAAGTTTGGGTCCCTTAATATTAATTTCACTTTCTGTGTATTTCGCCATATTTTGGAAAGCGATTCGAAAAACTTAATAATCGAAAAAATTATAAAATTCGAAAAAATATTATATTCGAAAAAATTATAAAATTAGTTTAATGTAAAAATAATTACTCTTATAGAAAATATTTTTTATTAACTATTTAGTATTATAAATTTTATAACATAGGAATCGATTTGCTAGGTA